TAAATCGCTCCAAGGTGTTTCGTGATTCGTTTATAATTAAATAAACGCAAACGTTGTAGTGTTAATGTATTTCCTGCTTATAAACTACTTCAATTATTTTTTCAATTACTATAGTTGGTAGCGTGCGCTACCTATTTCAGGAATTTCGTAAGGAAAGTTGAATTTATGTACATATTCACAAATAGTTGCTAATCTCAGTATTTATCACCTGCAAATAACCTTAGGACATATACCGATTCGTGTAGGAAATGCAATAATGCGGACAAATTTTAAAAATAATTTCGAGCTATGCCTAATAGGCTAATGTAATTCAGAAGTCCTTGGTTGCAAAATGTATAATTATCATATAAGTGAGAAGTAATTGATAACAAAATCCCTTAAAGGATTTTTTTCGAATTTCTATATAGTTTTTTTTATGTGGTATAAACCTTACATCTTGATACTAATTAGGAACACTTAAAATTAGCAAAGTACCAAACTAAGATGGATATTGACTCATAAATTCTGCGACTATTTTGGTCGTAACCACGATACACATAAAAGTATGTATAAAAGTATTGTAAGTGTATCGTGGTCGTATCTCTAAATGTTCGGCAGCTTGCGGATAAATTATACCAAAACGTAAAACTTGCTCTAAAATAATTTCAGCAAACTTCACCATCGTGTTTGTCGAATAAAATAAAGTTCTACCGAAAAAACTGGACTACGTTTTCGTTGAATTTGTTTTTATGAAATTATTGCTATTCGTTTTCGGAGCCATTTTCACAAATCTGGACCTCTTTTTTTTTTCGGTTTCAAGATTTTCACAAATCTTGAAACCGAAACTTCATAGTCGAGTTAAAACAAAAATTCTATATACAGGGTGGCATGAATGAACGGATTGTTTGAAATAAAGTTTGTATGTAGTAAAAAATGTAAATTGAATTTTGGTTTTCAATCGTCTATGAAATTTCACCTGCAGCATGAGCCGTAGATGTTGAAAATCGGTCTACCGGGAAAAATGTGATCAGTGCAAGACCAAAAAGTTTATTTTTTGGTGACCCTGTAAATAAAAATGACAGATGAAAAATATCAGACCGATTTGATTTGAGATAACCGGTCTAACTCTGGTGTTGAAATAAAAAAAATAAGTTTTGTTCAATTGGGAGGATGTCAAACTTTCAGAGAATTTGTATTGTTTTATTCTGCACCCTGTAGAAACTTTCCCTGAAGTACAAGATTTTTGCAAAAACACACGCGGACATAAAAGAACTGGACTAGATAAGGCTTATTATATTATAGATAGGCAAGCAGCATTAAGATCACTTGCAACAATCATAAGTTACGGAGTTTCAAAGTTAGAGAAAAATTAGTTGTACAACTTTTAAATTGTTGAGTAGTTTAATTGAGCATAGCTAAAAACACCCCCAAGATATTTTTTTTATATGGAACCGTTTGGCTTTATATGGACCCTCATTAGAAAGGTGGTGGAAAGAGATCATTCTCATCAAAGGTTAATATTTAGTACGTTTGAGGGTGGATAAAATCAAATCGCAATTTTACAGTCTAACTTGTTTTCCACGAAAAAAAACGATTTCTTCTAGTAAATTGATTCCAAAAAGAGTGGAAGTTACGCAAAAAATACAATGTGTGTGTTTTATTAAGCTAGTGATACAATCAGAGGCTTATAAAATGAATTGAAAAATCGGCAAAACTAGTTCTAGTTAAAAGCAAACTCTGATGAAACTTTTTAGAGCAAGATTATACTCGTTAGTTAGATATTTTGCAACTGTTATAAATATTATCGAAAATTTAGTTCTGATTACTGCATTAAAGATATAATATTAATGCATTAACCTCCAAGTTTAATTATCACGATTATACAACAGATGCCTAATCAGTATTCAGTACTTTGCCCGATGAAAATTTCGAATTATACGGGCAATTAAATCGCTACATTAAAAATTAGGTACCGCCCATAATTTCGGTGCAACTGCCACCAACCATAGATTTAGGAACATAATAACAATATTACGCTATTATATAACAAGAAGAAAATGATTATCATTCAACACGATTATTAGAGTTGTTGCAAAAAAATGGCACACACGTACTGCCGCAATCGGGTACGCTGAAAAATGTTATTAGTGGCTTTATTGCCGACATTAAACTACTTTTAGACTTCGTTTATCTAGGTTATTTTCCCACATTAGGTTCGAGATGCTTGGTTATTGTTTTTGTACGTTACTGCTCCTTTATGGGCTGATTTTCTATAGCCATATGACTTGGCTGGTTTCAACTGCCAGTAAATAGACATGATGCAATGCATCTACCTAATAGATATTAATGTTAGTTGCTCAGTAATCAGCATACGAACATTAGGAAGTTTCACTCAAAGGTGTAATTTATTTACATATCTTTTGAAGGCTTAGTAGGTGGTTTGTCCAAAACTGAGAGCTTCACGCTTGGAAAGAAAGAAAAGTATAATCAAAGGAAAATTGCATAAATTAACTTAAAGAAACATTTCGGATAATTTTTCGAAATCATGAATTAGTCAAGTACACTGATTTGCGTCAATAATGACCCAACAAAAACGTAATTTCGTTGCACTGGTTTTTCGGGATTTTTCGACGAAACACCCGTCTTATCATGTATCAACATACACATTTCAAATGCTTGAACAGGAATCCAGTGATAATTTCAAGGATGCACTCAAATCACTGACCAGATATTTTCATCAATTTTTGGATCTCTAATCGGATAAAGTAATGTAATAACGAGAACGCAGTTAGGTCAACGGAATAGAATAAATAAAAAAAAACAATGCGTCGCAATTGTATGAGTGGTTTGAATTATTTAATTTCAAATAGGGCAAACCGAACTTTTGCGGGGTACTGTTGAATTGCTATTTTAATAAATTACATAAAATATTTAATTTAAAAATATCCATACTTCCCGAAAAAAACAATTAAAAGAAAAGAAATAATTTTAAAACATTTTTTTCGCTTTCAACAATTTCTGGCAATCAAACGAATTATGAGCAAAAAATATGCAAAAACCACAATTAGTCAATTGCTAAGATGTCAATATAAATTTTAATATTTAGTTGAGATGCTTTTCGTTCTTTTTCTTAATATTTAGATGCTCCGTTTCTTTGGATGATATTCGCACTGCGCTTCTTTTCAATATTCGGTTCAACAATTTTAATATTTTCAAAAACCCTCCAAAACATTCAAATATCTGTTTTTATTGACTTTATCAAATAATCCCGAGACTCGACATTTCGTTTCGAATCTACCCAACATTAAACAGATGAAATATTTCTTCAGGTTGAAGTTTTGATATTTTGATTAATATGTATTTACCTGCCGAATTATTAAGAAACTATGGGCTTGCATCTTCAGAGGCGGTTGTTGCACCAAGCTACATCTGCAGATGCAAACCACTCGTGCTTGCGACACGTCGGAAGAAATGTTTTTCCGACTGTCTAAAAGACCGAAAAACTCGTCATTTCCATATTTTCAATTATTTGCTAAAGTATTAGTCGGAACTGTTGTAATTTGTTTAAAAACGCCATTAATAAACCAGCATTACAGTACAATGTACTTGCGTTCATTTCGCGAAGAATCCTTCAACCAAAAAGTGTAATTTAGGTTAATGGCTTTGTTTGCAACAATTTGGAACGTGGAAGTTAACGTGTCTTTTGCCCATTTACCTGCCGAATTGCTCAACACCAAAGAGAGAAATTTTCTTGCATGAAACACTTTCACTATGCGTGGGTTCTGGTGCAGTCGGAACAACCGCAAATTAGCCATTTCAAGCAGAAGATAATTGCCAGTTGGAAACGGTGAGATAATAAAAATAAACTAAATAATAGACTTTTAAAAACTTACCGCCCTATTATAACAACCATCAAAAGATGCTTGATTAGTGTTGTTGTGTAAACTGATATTTATATTTTGAAAGCGTTTGTATGAAATTAATATTTTTCTTTCTTCTAATAATTTTTATTGCTTTTCGCTCAAGCTCTCTGCTGGCACATTTCTACCAAAAAATCAAAATCAAAATTGCAATTCATGTCTTTACTTGCCTTTGAACCACTGTCTTTCCTTCAATGTTGATTTTTTGGCTATATGCCTCTGAAGTGAGTAAGGCTTTGCATCGTTTAAAAGCATTTACAGGAAAAAATGCCGCTGAGAAAAATTATTGTATGAAGACTAAACGTTAATCAAGTAACCCTAGAGAAATGTTTAAACATAAATAAAATTAATTAAATACCAGCATTTTTTAAATAAAATTTTTATTTCAACCGACTCATTTGATTAAGGAACGGGTATTATTTCTTTAACTCTGCCAAGTAGCAGCTTTTTATTCGTTCTGAAATAATTTTCAGTTTTCTAAAATTTTTTATTATGCTATTTTATGTTTATGTTCGGATCCTTGAATCTGAGTCATTGAAGACGTTTTCCTATTCTACTAACTACTTTCTTACTGACTTAAAAAAAAAGAATACGGCATTTTAAAAAAGAGTGGGACTGTTTAACAACTTTTCGGAAATCAAGGTTTTCTTCTCTCATCTTTAAGTAACAAAACTGGTGATCAAAACTGGTTTTTTAAATGTATTCCGTAAATGGCGCAGTTAGTTTTAAATCAAGAAGAATTTCAGCACAATAAGTACCCAGAGCTTTACTTACCAGCATCATTTCCCAACCTCGTAAAACGGATAATTTGTAAGTTGGCCTGTTACCACTCGTTATCTGTTAAGAGAAAGTTACTTACATGGCATAGAAAGTTCTTAAAATAACTTACTGGATCACTCCAAACGGTGTCAATATAATTATTTTTTCTAATTATAATTGAATAAAGCCAAATTGTTCCTGGTTATCTCATTAATAAAATATAATAATGTTGACATAATCATTCAAATTCAGATTAATACTTAACTGCAAAAATTGTATTATTAAACTCACTTTCTGCCCAGATACCGGAAGGGGAATAAAGTATGAAGAAAACAAAGTAAGTTTCTCAAAACTATTCGGATTTACTGTCCTATTTTACAAAAAATACACTATAAAAATTATTTACAAATAAAATACATAATATTAAACAGTAGTATAATTTTGGTCTGTACCACTTAAGTCTAAAGTACAGAATTATTGAGTTTATCTAAGTTTATTTTTTATTAAGATTATTTAAGTTTTTATACAATGCAGTCCTATTAAAATAAAATTTACAACAAACAAGCCAAATGTAGACGTCAATAAATAAGACAGTACCAGTCACTCAATAATTCTGTACTTTTTAAGGAACTCGCATAAGTTGTTGTTTCACAATTACATTACAATCTTATAAAATATCACAATTACATTAGTACTTCAGTTGTATACTGAGATTCTATTGATCTTTTTTGTCAACATACATTCCGCAGCGATCATACAGAGAGATGTTTCCTTTGGGAACTTGAAGAATTGACAAATTCGATTTTATGTAATACATATATCCATAAAATCGCTTTTGTCGTTATCCTATACGCAGTCTACTGCACAATCAGTTTCGAATCGTTGGTCACCATATACTCTAAAAATGATCAGCAACAAGCAACTTCGCGCATCTTCGCACGGGTCATGTCCCGTAGTGCCGCCTTGTATAGATTGACCTAACATTGATTGCACTAAATATTTTAATGATTGTTTAAAAGGAAAACCAGAGTGATGTGGAAATGTAAATGCCGTGTCGACCACCGTTTTATGAATTATTTTTAAACCCTTGAGATCATTTTCAAGCCCATGGCCTATTAAAACAGTGTCCTTAAAAATAAACTTCTTCAAGTCCTTTTGAACTTCTTTTAACGTTTTCGAGCTATTATTTATGAAATCCTCCGCTACAATTCCACTAAACCTAGTGTTGTAGTCCACAATGGGATTTAAGGGTCGAATATATTCAACATATATCGGAACACCTTCACAATTTAAAACAGCCACTTTTACAACTTCCAATCCTGCAGCGGTATACGACATTTCGCAGTCTAGAGCGAAGATCAGGTTAGTCGTTGATTCATAATACATCGGTCGTTCTTCGGTTTCCACAAATAATTCATCCACTGCAAAAAAAACTACATTTAGTAAGGTGAAAAAACATAATTAAGTACAATGAGCAAAGTTAGCCATACACATTAAATTTGTAGTTGCAAATAGTTTTTATAGTAACCTCCAAAAACATGAGGAATATTTAGAAAATTTCATTTGAGCAAACATTCATAACCACTGTGAGGAACAAAAGTAACTGCTACTTGCAACTCCTTTCCAAAAAAACAACTCCGGAGCCGCATGAATTATCAACTATAAACTTCTTCAAGACATATTTGAAGATTAACTGATTTTTCCGAAAATCCCAAACTTAAGTCCCAGAAGAAAAACTTCCTGCGGCTTGCAACAGCTCTCTGAAAAGACTCGCATCTCCCGAACCGAATCGAAAGCATCAAATTGAAATATCTTCAGAGCATATTCGAAGCATTCATGAAAACTTATAATCATATTTATTGGCAAACCGACTTATTTTTCAGAAATTTCCAAGCCTTAGAAGAAAAAAGTCGCTTGCAATAGATCTTCAAAATACCACAACTCCCGTAAGGAAAGAAATTATCAACTCCATACTCCTCCAGGACATATGCAAAACATGCATAAAGTGGAGAAAAAATCATATTTATTGGCAAACCAAACTTGAGCCCCAGAAGAAAAATCAAGCAGGTTTACAATAACTCTTTAAAAAAATCGGAACTCTGAAATCGAATGATCTATTAACTCCAAACCTCTCCAAGACATATGCCAAGCATTCATGAAAGTAGCAAACCGGATCATTTTGTGGAAAAACACCAAAACTTTTGTCCCAGAAGAAAGTCACTGCCTCTTCCAATAGCTTTGTAAAAAAATCGCAACCGGATAGAGCATTAAATTTAAATTTCTCCACAAGAAACATGCAGAACATCTCAGGAAAAAATTAATTGGCATTGGAAAAGGCACTGATTCTTCAGTTTTTCACACTCCCCAGCCGCAATTTTCGAATAAAACTTTGGACGAAACTTCCATTGAAACTTACTGAATGAAACATGAAAAATTTTGTAACTTCTAAACCAGATAAACCATGAACCAGGGAACGTTTATTTAGTAAAATTGCAAGATAATTTTTTTTTCCAGTTTAGTGAGTGATAAGAAAAAACAAAAAATTAAGCAAGAAAACAAAGCATTTTGCTAAAAACGAAAATGTAATTGCTACGACGACTCGATAGAGTGCACTTCGGCAACAAATACGACAAAGAATAAAGAAAACAAAAACTTAAAAATCTTTGCAATTAAGCTTGCCCCGCCTGGAAATACCTACTACGTGGAATTAAAAGAAAGAAAGAAGAAAACTAAAGAAAATTAAAAGTTTTTAAATATAAAAATGAAATATTCATCAGAACTTTGTATTTTGAAAAACAAATATTTTTATTCTGTGAATAAAACCGTGCATATGAGTTTAAAACTGGAAGTCATATTTTCATTTTTAAGAAATGAAATTTATTTTCATGAAATCTTATCAGAACGAGCACGTAAAGAACCTTAACGACGAAACCACAGTGAATCAAAAAAGTTCAGATGAAGAAAATGTGGAAAATCTGGAGAAAATTTTGCAAAGGCAGGAGAGTTTCTCTGATTATGAATTTTAAGGACTGGCGGTTAAACTAGAACACAAAAATATTGAAGAAAACAATTATGCGGAAGAGAAAAACATATTTTTGAAAGCATTTTTTAAAACCAGTTAAGTCGCCATAAAAAAAAGTGTTGACCAATTTATTGACGATATATTAATATAATTCATAGCCAAGACGGAGTGGCGTGCATTTGCGCAAAAGAACAATGCAAATGCCATTACAAAGCTTTCTTATAAAGAAGTAACTAATTCAAAATTCAGTGTAAAACCTAATGTTGGTCATTTTTAAACGCAGATTACTGAAAATTACGAAAATTGTTACCAACATTCGGTTTTGGGGAAAACCATAACGGTTTTCGGAAAAAACGGGAGGAATTCATTTTCGTTTGAAAAGTTTTTGTGAAATTTTTACAAAGTTCTAAATTTCTCTTGTAATTTTTCGTGTAAAAAGACCCCCAGATCTTCAGTATTTTTAAGTGAAACTCTACAAAGTCTTTTAAGCGTTTTTCAGTCAAAACTAAAAAAACAATTTTTTTAAACAAACTCTTGAGAGGAATAGAGTCTTGAGAGGAATAGAGGTGACGAGATTTCCAAATAAAATGTTATAAATTTTCGCTTATTCTGTTCGTTTTTTGATAGAAAATTATTTTATTTCTGTAGCGAATTTGACGCTGGAAAGGGACTTCAAAACTTTTCACAAAGCGACGAAGGATTCGAAATTTATTTCATAATTTTTCACGGAAAATACCTTAAGATTTTCAGCGTTTGTGATGCACAAGTGAAACTTAAGAAAATTGAGCATTTAGAAGAAATAATAGCTTGGCTAAAACTGGAAAATTCTGAAATTTTGAAGAAATTTTAAAAATATTAATAAAACGCCCTTAAAATAAATCTAAAACATCGGTACAACCGGAAGTGTGGCCACCTTGAAAATATTTTAGATCGCTTGCCCCCAATGACTTCGGCACACTATCCAATTGTCAAATTTCTCCTAATTACAGACCCCCTGTATATTTTTAATTTTGAACCATTCTTGCTAAAAGAACTGATCTCACTGCCGACATGGTAGAAAAAGGTAGAAAAAGTTTTACGGTGGTTTAGTATTTAAGTAAAAGTTATAAGATTGTTTGAATAAAAAGGTGAAATAGACCAAGATTTTCCCATTTTCCTTTGCATTGAGGCACAACTAAGAGGCTTGATTTTAAAAGTGTTTATATCAAATGTAGTGTTAAAATTCTTTACTGCTGGTAGAATAGAAGTCAACCGATGTCCATAAATTCCAAAAGTATTAAAAGTAAATTATAAAAAATGTATTCAAACATTTAAAGCTTCCAAACTATTTAGATAGATATCGTACACAGAAAGCAGAATAAAAACTAGCATAATTCGAATAGTAGCAACCAGAAAAATAGTATAATGTACGAGTTCAAATGAGACTTACCAACAAGCTCTGTTGGGCCATTCCACACATGGCAGGGCCCCACTTCGCAGCCAAGCGTATGCTGCGGTAGCCTGCAGCATGTGTACCACATAGGCCCAAATGGGCTGTTGCGGTTCCGCAGCTTCCCAGGGTGGAAACGACAGGTTCCTTCGGTGAGATATCTCCCACCCTGGGTTACAAACTTAGATCCGCAACGGACGCACACGTGCTCCTGCTGCGGATGATAACTCGCCGCTGGATAGGCTCCGATGCTCCTACCCACTTGGCGCTGGACTTCTGTAAGATAATTACATATTTTAGAATGAATAAATGTTAATCATAGATGTGATTAGTGTTTGTAAATGTAAATATTGTAATTAGATTAGAAACGACATTGTAAATAAATGAACTTCAAAGTATAGGCTTTATAAATATTTAAATCAGCTTACCTTCTTCAACATCACAGAGTTCATCTTCAGTGGTCGTCCCGCTATAATTTCCGCTGCTGGATTCACTTTCGGGCACGAATTCAGCAGCGTTTATGTCTAACCGGCTATCGCTAGGGTTGATAAAACACGCTGGTTGATTCTTGCTCATCGGATAGCCTAAAATCGAAAAACAAATTAGCGTACTTAGTATACTCGAAGATGTTTGCAAGTTTGAAATTGTATACATCTGTTTTCCTGTTACAAACACTTTTATTTGAGTATTTTTCTTCAAAGTTTAGAGTTGTAAGGAATGGAAAATTGCTCTATGATGAATTTATAACCAGTTAGAACGATAACAATATTACTTTAGACTTTTAACATTTTCAATCGAACTCTCAGGTTGCACAACATCTCAATTAACACCACACAAACTTAAGACATTACATTTTCACGAAGTTAATAATACACAACTAAATATTCCTTTAGTTTACAGAGCCTTGGCCAAATACACACAGAGAAAATAAAAAGTAACATATGTAAAATTCATCACATTTCTTAGAAAAACTGTCCAACCTTGGATCTAAATGTTGTCAATATTCTGGTAAGCTTAAATGTTGGTTTATTTAGTAAAGTAGGTACCTGCTGACAAAAGCCTAAAACGAAATCTAGAAAATGGCGTCAATTACCACATTTAATAATCTTTTAACAATATGAATCGTTTTCTTTGAAAATGAATACCACTTACTATACAGGGTTATTTACGCTATACGGTATGGAAGTTTGCGGCTAAACCGTTTGATTTTGAAAAGGTATTATTTGATGAATTGTCCGACGCCTACCGGGTGCACATTTTAAAAATATTTTTGTAATGTACAGGGTGTCCCAAAAGCTCTAAAAGTATCAAAGTTGCGTTTTTTTAAATGGAATGTCCTGTATATTATTGCATTTTTGGATTCGCTGAACAAA